CTGGATAAAATTAAACTGGAATCTGATCTAAGATAAATTAAATTTCAAGCTTCCTGCATGAAGCTGACTGTTTGGTTCGCTTACCGTGTCGTTGATGTAGAAGGCTCCGCCCAGGTTTCCAGCTGTGATGTTGTAGGTGAGGAGAGCGTTGAGTCCACTGTCGGCATCCTGGGCTCGTACTCTGGCCACGGAGGTGTGGATTGAAGCACCTTCGCTCACACTGGTGTTGTGAGGCAAATTAAGTATGACTGGGTCGTTATCGTTGATGTCGAGAACGTAGACGCCCACCACTACCTGAGGACAGCAGAGGACAGGGAAACGTTCATGCTGCACATGCTGGTGAAGATTCTCATTCATCCAGGTCATAGTCATTCCAAAAAAGTAAAAAAACAACAACACACTTTTTAAAATTATTTTTATTTCCACATTTGAAGATGTTTCACTTCGCATCCAGGAAGCTCTTTCAATTCAAAATGTCAGAAATAGCGTTGAGTTCCAGACTTTGGAATGGGGGTTCATTTGGCTTCTTTTGTTAGCCTGCAATGCCCCACACCCATCTATCGAACATTTTGAATGGAAAAAACTTCCTGGATGGGAAGAAAAACATCTTCAGGCTTGGAAACAAAGTCCAGCGGATTGGTTTTTACATGTCTAAATTATCTACTTTGCCTTGGAACTGTTCTACAAATTGATAATGACATCTTTTGTCTACAGAGTTGTATTTTAATTGGCGTTTCCTAAATGTCCTGATCTGGCCTGTTTGCTCTCGCTTAATTAGTCATTCCTTTCACCTGTCGTTTTCCCTCCCTGCCTCAATTATCATTTATTCCCCTCACCTGTTTCCTCTGGTTTATATTCGTTCAACCTGAGCATTCAGTGCCAGATCATTCACTGCTTTTCTGTTAGCCTGTCTGTTCATTTTATTTCTTGGTTCATGTCCTGGATCCCGGCAGTCAGGGGAAAGAGGGTTTTTGTGTTTGTCTCGTCTCCTAATCGTCCACTGTTCCTCCCCCGCTGAGTCCGCTGGGTTTTTGGCTCTATATGC